AAACCAGCTTATCAACTTGAGCAGGCTTGACAGTTTGAAACAACTTACAATAGCTCGATACCGTCTTTGAAAATTACATTTTCCACACCAGCATCGAGCTTCGGATGACTCTTGTCCAAGCGGGTTATGGGTTGGGTTTACAGACTGGTGTATCAGTATAACTAGCTAGTTAACTAGTAAACACCGCCATCGTATCAAAGTGCAAACAGTTGCTGGGCAGAGTCATGTCATATTCTCACATGAAGAGTACACCCGAAATCCCAGGGTCGAGGTAGCCAAGAACAAGCAAGACCAAGACCGAAGGTCAGGATAGGCTGCGCCGAGAAAGCTCAGCTAAGACTCCGATGTCACTCCACATTGCCTTTAAAGATCCGACTCCACGACATTAAGCCGAATTCCCAAACTCATCGAAAACCTAAACCCAGCACCTGGAGACGCCCATACTCTACGACAGTCGTCGACCCTAAGCCGGCTCTGCCGAACCCAACGCAGAAACCCGGCAGTGCTTCTGACGAGCTGCAGCTTCCGAAAGCGAGGCAGGGCGAAGTCCGGGCGGAGCTCCGTCCTTTCAAGACAAGACTTTTGGTTTTAAAGTTCTTATGAAGATGGCTCCGGGCTAGGCGGTCGCCACGGCCGAGGCATGCGAGGCATGTCAGTGTTGTACTGAGAGAATGAAGGTCTTGGGGCTTAGGATGTTAGGGGGCCTCACCGCTGCTTAGGCAGTGGAGCAAACTTCGTTCCTGGATTTCTTGGACTTCGTTTGACCCATCCATGTCGCAATAGACCTAATTAAAATGCAGGTAAAACGGGAATCCTGATGAGAAGCGGGACGTGAAGATTGCTTGGACACGACAGCGGCGCAGACTATCTTGAAGTCTCGGAGCCAGAGCCATGGTTGTGTATACGCTTCTTTCAGCGTCTAAGTGAAGCCAATGAGCCTACACAGAACGCCTCTTGGATAAAGCAAACCTACTCCGAGCAAGCGTCAGGACAGGAGGCTGATCAACATCTTGACGTATGCAAACAGCTGACCTCAACTGGACCTCCCTGGTCTTCGGAACCTAATGCGCGCATCATGCACACTCTGTTTTCGCAGGGGTTGGGTCGGTTGGGTATTGAACATGATGACCCACTGATTTCGGGTCTATAGCAGAGGAAGCGAACACTGAACTTCGACTCCGAATGTGAAACCGTGGCCACTAGTACCACAGTACCAATTCAATCCTGCTCGCGACAGGCACGGCAAACATGACCGAGAGGACCTTTCTCTTTTCGCCGACTAAACATCCATGCAGACCCAAAATCCAAGACCGCCCAAAACTACTAAACCCGAAACCGTAAGTCCTGAGCACCCGAAAAGGGAAGTCTGTTGCTACCCCACTCCTTCGAATCACAGCTGACCTGCTTCGTTAGCCTCCGTCGGGGCGGTTCTTGTGATACAATTTGCATAAGTGTTTAGGAAGTAGCATGGGGCATCCGTCATCGTGATGATATGATGATGACACTTGCGGTCCTGCTTATCTTCCTCAGCCTCTCGTGGCTCTTGCTGTTCTCCTTGCCGCTGCTGATGCTGCTGCAGACCATCGTCATCGTCATCGTCATCGTCATCATCATCACCGCCACCACCACCACCACCACCACCACCACCACCACCACCACCATCACCGTCATCATCAACATCATCACCGCCACCATCACCATCCTCATCTTCATCACAATGAACCTTGTCATCATCATCATCATCATCATCATCAGCAGCATGTTCATCATCATGAGTGCCATGATGGTGATAATGATGATGGCGGTGGTGAAGGTGACGTGATGGCGATGATGACGCTGACGGTGAGGCTGATGAGGATGATGGTGATGCTGAAGGTGACGATTATCATAAACATCGTCGTCATCATATCATGATCATCACCGTCAATCCATGGTTTCCAACGTTATCATCGATCAGCGCCATCGTAAGCATCATGATCACCATCGTATTTGCCTGCCGCCATTGTCATCCGTGGCCTCCTCATCGTCACATCTTCACGGGCTATGTGGCAGTTTCAGAAACTGATGTAGACCTGCAAGTAGGAGCCATTCAGGGCACCTCTAAACTTCATAACAAACCCCAAAACACCCGAAGACAACCTACATCCCCACCCGATTCAAGCGCTCAACAACTGTTGGACGAAGCGGCCCTGGGGGTGCATCCAGGAGCTTTGACACGGCGGTCGGAGGGAGCTGAGAGTCTGAGGCGTTGGATCTGGGTTCGTTTTAGTGCACTATGAAGGTATTTATCAGGTTGCATAGTCCTACGTTACTGAAGTAGGGATCTAGTATATGACAATAACGAGTGTTGACCAATATGGTATCTTAAGGTTTCACTCCACAAGAAAAAAACCCAGGACTCCACCTAGGGCTTCTGTGAGGCCGGGTTCGGAGCTTAGGATTCCAAGCCGCGTTCAGGCTTAGAGTTTCGGGCTTCGCGTTTTGGGATTTGCTGTCTAGGATGTTGTTCGGAGTCCTATGTCGCTACCGGCTTAGCGGCCTATTCTTTGGGCCATCCTCCTTCGGGTTTAGGGACTTGCATGGATTTGTCCGGGGTGAGGGCAGTATTATATATATATATATATATATATATATGTAAGTTGCATAAAACTACAGTGCGCCTAAGCGAATCTGGACTGTCCTCAACTCCGACACCAAAAGGCCGGAAGGTGACGATTTCAAGTTTCGTTTGAAGCTTTCAGCCTCCATAAATGGGCCCGAAGCATTCCTGCTACTTTCTCCTGAAGGTTCGGAAAGGTTCTGCATGAGGTTCTAGGGCTCTAGGAAGCGTCCTTAAGCGGGTAAGTTCTCAAGGCTCGTCCCCGACGAACACAAAAAGTAACCTTGTAAGGACAGGGCTGTTGGGTAGTTGGTTTGACGATAACCAAACAGAGATTGAGTATCTAAAACAGATGGCACGTACTAGCCGCTGACACGCCCAGCCGGACCTCCCACCAGCCCCAGTAGCTTCTACACCGTCCAAGTCTAGAAGGGCTTTGTAGGCTGGAGCTTGGCATTTGTGGTTTGCGTCTTTCCATACAGTTTTAGGGCTTCAGAGAGGAAGGTCCGGGAAGCAACGGAACTGCCTAAATCTCCGAAGTCCTACGATTGTCGTTTTTACCATCATCGTCATCCCCCTCCTTTACAGAGACAGGCCTCGGCTCATCAGATACAAGCTGTACATCGCCTGCATTCAGGGCGTGCCATGTTGTGGGAGCTCGGCTCCAGGAATTGGTAGGTAAAGCCGAACACCGAACAACTAAACTTGGTCCTACTCCCTAAGTCCGAAGCTCTCAACACCCAAATGGCAACCCCACGAACCCCTAAACAAAACAGCACACTTGCAGCAGGCCTCTGTCATCAGGGTGGTCTCGAAGTCGGCCGTGGATTGCTGCACCTTCAATACAGGCTGTGGGGGAAGAGCCTACGATGTAGGTTTGTCCTGTTTGCGTTACGGGATTTGGGCTGTTCAAAGCTTGAACCCCGCCAAAATCCTACCCAATACGGACTGGAAGACTTACATACAGCGCAGCAGGAAGAAGGGTCCGTGTCAGTTTGTCGGATGAGAATATGGTCAAACTCTGGGTGTCCACTAGTGTGCCGAAAATCTCAGCCTTCGATCCCAAATCGAGCGCGGGCTGAGTGTCAGAACTCAGGGACAATGCATGATGCTACGCAACTTCGCCATGCCAGTCCTACACCCTAAACCTACAGTCCCTACGCCGAACCTCTACATAAAGCCCCGGCGACTGACCAGGATAACAAAAAAATGTGTGGGTGCGCTGCAGGGGCACTGCTAAGAAGGGCTGCCTCTCAACAAATGCGATTTGATATGGGTTTATGATTTATGTTTCATGGTATCAGTCAATGCCTGCAAGTAGCTAAGTTTCATAAATTTTCCTTTTTTTGAACCTTGCTCCCTCTCCCGTCCCCTGCCGATTGTTTTGAACCTTATGGCATTAGGTTCGTCTGTTTTTATCCACCTTGTTCCTGCAGTGTCGTTGGTCGTTTGAACCTAGCTTTTTGAAAGCCGACTTCGGCATGCTTTCGCACCTGACTCTGACCCGCTGACCCGACCCGGGTCGCCGAATGAGGTTCAACACCAAACTCTGTTAAAACCGCAGAAATGTCCAAAACAGCCTCACCTTCTCTCTCCCTCCTTCTCCCTGTCCCTGTCCCTCTCTCTCCCTGCCTCCATCGCCCTCTCCCTGTCCCTGTCCCGCTCTCCCTCTCCCTCTCCCTCTCCCTCTCCCTGTCCTCGCTCTCCCTGTCCCTGTCCCTATCCCTCTCCCTGTCCCTGTCCCTGTCCCTGTCCCTGTCCCTTTCCTTCTGTCCCTGTCCCTCTCCCTGTCCCTGTCCCTGTCCCTTTCCTTCTGTCCCTGTCCCTCTCCCTGTCCATCTCCTCTCCTTTTCCCTCTCCCTCTCACTCTCCCTTCCACGAGATATGAAGCCCTGGCGATGAAGAGCATTTTCAACCTTACTCTAAGAATAAGGAAGAACATGCCTTCCAGAACCAGCCTTATCTGTAGAGTAAGGTTGAGAATGTTTCTCCCTTCCCTCTCCCTCCCCCTCCTCCTCTCCCTTTCCCTCTCCCTCTGCTCCCTCTCCCTCTTCGTCCCCCTCTCCCTTTCCCTCTTCCTCCCCCTCCTGTCCCTTCCACGAGATATGAAGCCCTGGTGATGGAGAGCGTTTTCAACCTTACTCTAAGAGTAAGGTTCGAAGTTCTTTCCATGCAAACATGTTCAACCTTAGCCCGGTGTCTTAACTCTTCATTTGCACCCTGCCTTTAAACCCTTCATTTACACCTTCTAAACCCTTTGAAGCAGGGCTCCGGTCTTTTCCTGGTTCCGTCGCAGGGGCGTCCGGCATCGGCCCCGTGCATACGCTGTACAGTAGAAACTCTTATTCTGGGCCTACCTTGTGGTGCTTACGTCTGGGTCGCGGGAGTCTCTCTGGACATCTTAAAATGCTTCGGGCGAGGCATCGGTGCCTAGTGGCTTGGGCTTTGGACGGATGTAGTATGGTTCAAAAGCAGTTTCACTGCCTGGCATCAGAGGCCGCATGTAGCTTAGAAGACAAAGCCTCGGTTGGTAGTGCTGTGCACTGACCTGTGCAGAATGCCCGAGGAAAACCTGGAGAGCTTTTGCCTCCGCGGTCTGCTTTGAGCTTTTCAAGAGATATGCTTCCACTGCCGCCCTCACCTGTGTAATGTTTGCCTTGGTGACCCTCCCAGCCTGCTTCATGAGCACGTCATACTGCAAGAGCTTGAACGGAGCCTCCTCTCCAGGTCGGTTTGCCGGGATCAGATCAGCTCCTTCTGAGGCACCGAAGTACTCCTTGAGAACGTCCAAGTCGTTCTCGAGAAAGCTCTGGAAGGCCACGGGCCACGGCTCGCTGTTGTACTTCCTGGTCACGTAATAGCCTCGACTCATCCGCTTCTTGGCTTCCGTCTTTGTTGGACTGGGACCTATCGCCGAGAAGGAGTCGTAGAAGATGCTTCGGTCCAGAACCTGCAACTACCCTTTGCTTCTGGTGGCCAGATTGTGTGCAATAGCCATTCGCTCCGTACTCTGGAACACGAAGCCCACAGCAATCTGGCTGCTCGGAGAACAGCCAGATGGTACCGCGTGTGCTGCTTGTTGGCGCCTGGTGCCGATTCCGAGAGCTTCAAGCTCTTCTTCTGGAGATTTCTGATTTTCAGGTCCAAGGCAAACAAAGTGTCCAAGATCTGCCACTAGATCTTCCGGGGGATTGCTGGGAGCTCTGGCCCTTCGTGGGCCCGTTTGAGGCCGCAGGTGCATCCCATGGCCTTCACGTGATCAAGCAAAGCTTTAGCATGGTGCTTCTTCTTTTTTGCGCCCGTCTTCATGAGCACGGAACAGGAGTGGGTCTGAAGGGTAATATAGCCGGGGCTGATTTTCGTGTTCTTGGCACTGTTGTCCGTTTCCAAATGGATGTGGTGCAAACAAGTTCTTGGTGAACACGCCCACGTCCATTCGTCGGAACCTGCGAAAGGTCCAGGCTCAGCTTTCTCCAGCCATCCCATGTACCTGGAGTAAAGTTCAAAACGAAACTAGAGTAAGTCTCATAAAACTGGAACCATCCTAGAGTAAGGCTGAAAATAAACTTAGAGTAGACTAGAAGCCTTACAACAGTCATAGAAGAAGGTGCACAGAAAGCCCACTACAGACATTAGGACACAGGATATCAACAGCAAGGTTGACGTTGGTAAGCTGAAGCACAGCAAGGCATTATGGGCATGAACACCGCCGACTTCTCATTGCACACGTTGTTCCACTTGCCATCCATGGCCACGTTGTATGTCATCAGGCGGAACCAGTTGTGAAATTCACCATCGGCCAGGCGATCCTGGCTCTGGTATACAACTTAAACACTTAAACCTTACTCCTAGCTATCTTGCCGATAAATGAAAGTAAACCTTACTCTTCTGTTCCGAGTCCTTCGTCAAGGCCCAGTCAGCTTTGCTGTGGCCCTCGGCCGGCCTTGTGTGCGAAAGGTCGTAGCCCATGTGTGCAGCTGGCTGCATCATGCCGCGATCCTGGCTCTGGTAACCGACTTTAACCTTACGGCTAGCTACCCTGCCTATGACTGAAAGTAAACCTTGCTCGTCCGTTCCAGGTCCTTCTCCTTCTCTGGGAGCTTAGGCTCCTCTCCATCAGCTTCCTCGCGGCCCAGAAAGGCGTCCTGGCCCACAACGGCGTCGTTATGCGCCTGTAGACAGCAGAAACCCTGAATTTAGAGTGAGGTTCAAACGCTTACCCGCAAACCCTTGCATACCCAGCCTCCGGGAAGAGGCAACCCTTGAGAACCACTTCGGGTTCTGCTTCGTTTTCCGGATGCTTGAGAACAGTGCGGATTCTGTTCCCCAACCCAGACGTGTAGATCTGCACCCCGAAGTTTTGAAAAGAGGAAGGTTCAAAATGGCAACAACTCGAATTCAACAAACCAGAACTGACTAAGACCATGCAAGGCTCCGAAGCCTGTGGACGCGAAGGCCTGAAGGGCAACGTCGTCGCCCCATTGCAGTGGCTGGCGAATCTTCCTCAACCCATGTCAGCGGCTCCGCTTGGCCACCCTCCAAAAAAATGTTCAATATCGAGGTATGTTAGGGAGGACTTCTTTGGAGACAAGATGTTCGCGATGCTGTCCAGGTCCCATCCGCTGTCCGCCGACACAAGGTGCGACTCGAATAAGCAATCCCCCAGACCTAGGAAAAGAAGACACCACAAGAAAGGCCGATCGACAACCCACCATTGCGAACCTTACCCTAGATCAAACGAAAGCCATGTAGCCTGGAACTGCCACACGTCGCGAGCCTAATTCAGCTAAGCCTGGGTCTATCTTCTTCCACTGAACCTGCTCGTTTAAGGCCTGCTCTTTCGAGAGCTCCAAGGCAAGCTGGCAGTCGGTAAGCACCATGATGCACCATGGCAACAAAGGGAAGCCGATAGAAGGGACAACGCACTTAATCTCCAGCCCGAAAGAAGAACGAATTAACATTTTGAGCACTACGAGCCGTCCTCCTGACATCATGAACCGTACTCCTCCTGTCTGAACCCTATTCCCTTCAAGAACATCAAGCTTATGAACGATACTCCAGCCAAACCTGCTGCTCTGATTTAACTCAACAGCAAACCTAGGAGGAAGAGAAAACTTCAAAACAACACCTGCCTGAACCATATTCCCTTCAAGAACGTTAAACTTGTGAACTTTATTTACTCCAATCAAACCTGATGCTCTGAACTAACTCAACCGCAAACCCACTAACTTCAAGCACCCCCACCAGGGAGGAAGAGCAAGCTTCAAAACAACACCAAACCTGCAGACTTTACCCCCGCGGATGATGGTCCAAGAATGGACGGACTCGTGCTAGCTGGCTGGATACCCTCGACTACTGAGCACACGCACTGACCCGAGACGGCTCGTAGGTGCTCCAGACCCGGGTGTCCTACAACCCATGCGATTCAGTCCGTTGTTTACCCACCACCCAGGGTTCGGTATCTTTCAGCTATCTACTTTATGTGTCGTCCGAGCTGCAAAAGGGCTCTCTGAAACCACTCAACAAGTAATATCAGGAGCTTCATGCACGGGCATATGAATAAATCCAACCATCTTCCACCTGACTCTTAAAGCACTGTTGACAATGCTTAATTTCAACCTTATCCTAAGAGTAAGGTTTAAGATGCTCTTAATTTCCTTCTTACTCTAAGAGCAAGATTGAACATGCTCTCAATCTCAACCTTGCTCTACGAGTAAGGTTGGTAATGCTCTCATTTGCAACCTTACTCCATGGAGAAAGGTTCAAAGTCAGAGTATATAAGGCCCAGTAGAAGGGCTAGGTCACCGGTTGAGAAATGCTTTCAACTTCAACCTTGCCCTAGGAGTAAGTTTGAGCATATATTCAATTTTCTACCTTACCCTATGACTAACGTTCAATTTCACTCCACACAAGGGCCAGTAGAAAAGGTCGTTAAATTATCCAGGTATCAATCATACCAGGTTTATTTGGAGGAAGGTTGAATACAGGATCGTTTCAATATTACTCTAAGAGTAAGGTTGAAAACATTTCATTTCAGCCTCACTCCAAGCAGCAAGAGTAAGGAAGAACATCAGACCTGCACATCAGATCGACTCACCCAAAAGAGTAAGGTTGAAAACATTCCATTTCAACCTTACCCCAAGCAACCAGTGAGTAAGGAAGAACATCAGGCCTGTACAACAGATCGACTCACCCAAAAGAGGAAAGTGGAAACACAAAAACATTTTGCACCCTATACTCAGGACCGGAAACCTGAACCCCTAAACCCCTGAACAGAACTCTGCATGCTTACAGCGAACTCTGCTCTCTAGCCTCTGTGTCTCCCGTCAGCAGCAGCTTCGACATGGTGTTAGCTCTCAAATAAGAACCTTCGGCAACTGTAGGGAACGGCTCTCGGAGAGAGCACTTTCGCAGGCGTCACAATACTCAAGCAATTGAGCAGGTTACCTATGATAACACTATAGTCAGACTGATTGATACGGACCAGATGAGATGCTTATAGAAGGCTTCCAAGTGATAAGATCCGGAGAGGCCATGGGCAGTGGGAACGGGTTTGCTACAGAGCGCCGGACGAAGCTGCGAGCCAGAGGCACCCAACACGTGTGGATTTAGGGCATCGCGTGGATCCTGACATCTACACCCCGAGCCATGCACCCCGAATGCAGAGTCCTATGGCACAACTAACTATTACGCACAGAGTTTAAGACCGTCTTGATTTTCGAAAGGCCGCAATGCTGGACGCCCATACGAACAGCCAAGCAGTTTCAACCCCGGTTCTTAATGAGAGTACGCGGCAGAGGGGTCAAGGGGTGGTGCAACTCACTCCAACAGCAACAAACAGGTGGGCTAAATGTATATACGAAGTTGACATTGTAGGGCTTAATATCCTTATGCCTGGTCTTCTTCGCGGTCACATTGTCGCAAGTCGTGCTTGGCCCGCAACCCATCATCTCTGCTCAAACCCCCGAACTCTGAATCCCCTTGTCCTCATCCTCGAAAAGGAACTCCGTTATGGGGCGCTCGAGGAAGGTGTCCGGCAACCTGTCGCACATCAGTGGTGGGCACCGTTGTGAAGTTTGAGAAACGAGCTTCGGGTTTAACATTTGGATTGGATTTCGCGCCTGGGCTCCACAAATCCCACTACCAGATGCAGCAGCCAACGAGCTAAACTCCGAGACATTTCCAAAATGGAGGCAGTCCCCGAACGCCGAAACCCAGAACCTCGCACCAAAAGAAGCACCACACACCCTTGAATCCTGAAGCTCTGAGTCCCAGAACCCTCCTACAAGCCCAACACAGCCCAAAACACATGCTGAATCCTGAAGCCAAGAGTTCAAGTACCCAAGTCTCCGACCGATCCGCCCCCTTCTTCACCATCTGGGCGAGTGGATTGATGGATCGGTACACCTGTCAGTGCGATCAGTCCCGATACCTATTCAGGCAAGTACTTGCCAACAAGCGGACCAGCAAAGGAGGGAGTACCCCCCTTTGCGACGATCCCCACAGGTTGCAGATGGGTTGCAGCGGCAGCAGCAGCTGCTCTCCTATTCCTGAATTTCTGCTTCTATCAGGGGGTACCACTACCGCCACTATCTTCGCTAAGTTGCCACCACTGCCACTACTACGACGACGACAACGAGGACGCCTACAAAAGCTGCAGCTAAATCATCAAGAAGGTCATTTCGTGCACAATGAAGAAAGTCGGTTGCTATGGCAGCTATGGCTTTATGCGGTTTCATGATTCCGCTTGCAGTACAGCCAGGAAGGAGACAGATTGCTGCCACTGCAAAGCGTGTGGGTGGCAGATCGGCAGACTTTGCAGCTCTCTCGGTTGCACAACGACCCGCATAGGCTGAAATCGGTTACATATGG